TCCTTCCACCAACATAGTGATGTAGTGACCACTGATGAGCTCTGCTCCTTGATGTGAAATGACCCCCCGCAACACAAAATTTGCCGGTGCTGCGTGCCCAGTCAGCGTCATCTGTGGACATTGAAACATTGGTGGAGTGAGCAATCTGTGATTGTGTTTGGTCCAAACTCGATCAACCACAGAATACCGCCCAATGTGAAAGACGACATGTTGGACCTCCTGCCCCAGGCATTGTCCACTAGCCTCATTGGCCCACATTGACAGCAACGTGTCGAGCTGCACCTCTTCTCCAAGGTCAGGAGGCATGCGGACAAAGATGGGGATGGTGTCAAACTCATGATCTCTTCCCCCAAATTTGGACACCCAATTGCCTTGCAAGCCTGTCTGGCCCCATAGCTCCCACATCAGGACTAGGAATTCCGAGGCGTCATGCTGCTGCTGAGGCTTGTCCAACCTTGCAATGACATGCTGCATTTCAGAGGCCCAGAAAATGTCCTCAATCTCATCTTGTTGGAGCAGCTGCATGCACAGTTTCGTTGACGGCCCCCAAAACTCTGCTGGGTTCTTGTGGTGGGCCCCCATCCAGCACCACATCCTCATCAGTTGGCATAGCATCGATTGCCTTTATTGTGGATGCACAGTGTGAGATTAGCCGCCATCAGTTCAATGGCCGGCGGTATGTTGATGGCTCCTTCAACTGGCCTGCACAGCATCAAATTACTTTGCAGGGCTAGTCGCATGCGGAGCACATGTTTCAGGGCGTCCAAGCCCCACACCCTGGTCTCCACTTGCCCAAATTCAATGTCGTCTTCACATTGAATGGGCAAGGCCGGGATTGCTTCCAAAGCCCTCTCTTGTAAGACAACAAGTCTGTTCTTCAAATGACCAGGTGTTGTTCTCTCCGCACACTGAATCTCATCTTCCAAGATCGCATCTTCATCAGTCACTTTAGGCCTCTTGCCCCCACCAAGGAGCAGGCATTGTAGGTGATCCTGTCCACCTGAATATGCATCTTGGTCATGTTGGTGCCACGGCAGGGATTGAGAAGGAGCTTCCGGGGTCCTGTCACTAGCATGTCCAGGCACGCCTGGCCGCTCTGGGAAAGAAGAGCACAGTGCCCCTTCTGCCCCTTCACCTGCCTCATCGTGTTGCCTCTCATCGACTTCAGTCTTGAGACTTTGTCCTTCCCTATCCATCTGATTGGACAGATGTCCTGTCCCGCTGTGGTCATGCTCTGGTGTGCGCGCGTGACCAATCACATCACTTCCATCTCCCCCAGGACTGATGGCCATCCGCTCATGGCTCATTCCGGCCCTGGATGAGTACAAAATTGAAAAGGCATGATCAACCCCTAAATCAATGCCAAAATTGCCTTCTTCTTGCGTCCACGGAAATGGGGACTCATGATAATCATTCACATTCACATACGGCTGCAGTCCTTGAAGATCATGACGAAATGGTTCATCTTGCCCACTTTGCACTTCACAATTCAAGCACTGCAAACGCTCATCAACACTCTGCTGACTACCCCAAGCACATCGTGTTGACACTTCATCCCGCCATACATTCAAACAGTCCCACGAGTTTGAACCTGCCCCACTGCTGTATCTGTCATGGTGACCAGCACAATCCATCTTCCAGGACCCCTTCACTGCAAGACAGTTTGCACCAGAGTCAAACCCTTTTGCTACTGCATTGGTCCAGTTGCTGTTACCCGCTCAACTGACTTTCATCAGTCTTGCGGCGCTTGGACATTGTCTCAGCCAAATTCCTCTCAAGCTCTTTCTGTTGCTCGGAGTTGAAAATGATACCTGCTTGTCCCAAGGCTTTGAGGACATGCTCTGTAGCATCACTATCCAAGACATGCTCCCCTGTGGTGGGTACCTCAGCCGCTTCCGCCTTGAGCTGTTTCGCATAGGCTTCCGACTGATCCCCAAGCTGCTTATGCTCTTTGTCAATGGCCTCCTGCACAGCTTTGAGCTCGTCCAACAGGATCTTGTATTGGTCTTTGGCTTGATCCACTCGTCTCTGCAGAGCTTGCTTCTTGGTGGCCAATTGCCTCAATTCACCAACTGTCGCCTTGAGCTGCCCTGTGACGTCAACTGTCACCATAGGGGTTGGCTTGATCAGGCCAACCACAGCCTCTTTCACTTCCGAAGGGAGTGACTCAAGATGTGCTTTCAACACTTCCTCAAGCGGTGGGCATTCAGGCTCTGGTGTAAAATATTGTAAAATCAATGCCAACTCCTTTCAGTGCCTCTTGGGCCTCTTTGGCCAATGTTCCCCAGGCCTTCTTGAGGGTGACTTCAATGGCATTGTGTGTTGCCTTGCTTTTGCCGCCTAGTCCAGGGGGCGGGTCGACTTGTGGCCTCGCTCGGCCTCGGGGCTTCCTTGCTTTCTTGGCCGGGTGGGGACTCTCCCAATCTTTGTCTGCACCTGGCCATGGCGTGCCACATTGATTGCAACCCCATCTGTGGCCATTGATGCGGTCCGCCCAAATCCATGATGAACTGCAACCTGAGCAGGCCACATATTTTCGCCTCGACCGGACTTTCTCAAACTCCTGGAAATAGCCCCCAACCATTTCACAGAACAACCTGGGTAATGCCCTCGACAACCTCAATTATGAGCAAAGGCAAGGCCTCCAGCCGTATAGGACAGGTCAAAGGGGTCTGCTGTCTCGTAGTCCAGTGCCCTCGAACAAATCAATGTGGGCCAAACCAATTTGAGCCACCTTGAGCCAAATCTTGAGCCACTCTCTTTCTCTCTCTCTCTCTCTCCCTCTCTCTCTCCCTCTCTCTCTCTCTCTCCCTCTCTTTTTTTTCCTCTCCGCTGCCATCGAGATGGAGAAGGCAGCACTTGCAGCAGTTGCCTAGGGAGCAGTCAAGGCCAAGGCATGGATCCACGTCTGGCACGCAAGAAGGATA